TTGTGAACCTTGTATACCTTCTATAAAAATATTTATTTGATAAAAAATATAATTATTATAAATTGGGTAGTGTATGCTCCTAGCGTTACCATAATATGGTTACGGAACTTATCTTAAAAACCGAGTAAAAAAAAAAATTATAGACTATCATTCCTGTAGTATGTAAGGGACCTAAGCTTTTAATTAAAATCAACTTCAAATTTTAAAAAAAAAWTCAGACTTAATAATGGGTTAAAATTACTCATAACTCATATTATATTAAATATACGTTATGCTTAAATTTATCTAAAATTAAATTAAAATAATAAAAAAATATATCTATATAACATTTTAATATTATTAATTTRAACAATAATTCTGGGTTAAATCAACTATGATGAATGTCATTTTGACCACCATAATATATATATTAGAGAATGGATTTAAAACTACAATGATGTTAAATCAACCTCAAAATTTACTGGAAGTCTAAATTTAGCACAAACTTCCCGAAGTGTCTGCGAAGCCCAACTATTATGCACTATTACCATATGTCCATACGTAACTGGTGTTATTTCAAATTCCAATTCATTTCCGTCTCTGCGTTCTTCGTTATGGTCGCAACAACAATACTTCATTGGTATCGTAATATCTTAAATTTAATTTTTGGTGAATTTGTATAAATTTGTGCTCTCCATACGAATATGGATTTGTTTCAAGATGAAGTAGGTAGGTATGTGTTAAATGTACTATACCTATATGTTTAAAGAATTCAATTTTTATAATGTAATTTTATGGTGTTTTTAAACGAATTCCTGTCTATTTCGTTTTCTGTAATACAGTATCTATATCCTGAATCCTGATTCGCATCACAGATAACTGCAGTAACATAGCAATTAGCAGTCTGTTGAAGGACATTTTGAAAGAACTGATATCCAAGATATTTCAAATAATCATTATACAATCTTATCTACGCCTACAACGGGTACATCATCAATAATGTCTAAAAACCACTCAAACGAAAGATCATCGCCATTGGGACATAAGAAATATGGTTATTTATAATTGGTTTATAACCAATGGAATGGACGATTGAAGTAAGTTTATTATTTAAATTCAGATAAGTAATAGATTTTTTAATTAAACCAATCAAAAATAGTTTGATTTTAATTTAAGTTGAACCTTATATTTAGGGTTTATTAAGACACTTGAAAATAATATTTTGGAAGCGATAGAATGGGAAAATATCATTCATCATAACTTCGCTACGAAAAAAGTTATTTGAAAAAACAATTTGAATTTCTGAAAGGCTATATTATATTAAATGTATACGGTTTTTAAACGTTATTTTTTTCAGAGTAAAATTTAATTATTTGATGTTTTTATATAGGTATTAAATTTTTCATGGTGATGTAGGTACTTTTAATATTTAATATATTACAATTATTAGACATTTTTCAAAATAATCAATTATTTATTACACATAATAATCAATTTACATATTGATATGAAGCGGGAAAATATGTGGGTGTGGGCCTTCAGCGGAATTACACCTTAACACATCACTGCCTGGCCCCCATACAGTAGGTACATATCATCGAAAAAACAGCATCATTTATAATAATATATAATATTATATGATATACAAAAACAATATTAACAATACAAACTATGTTGTTCTTATAATGCCTCAAGGATTCCCTCAACGTGTCGGCCTTCTAKAGGTGATCAGTTGGTAAATCCCCGAAGTTGGGGCCGTACAAATTATCGGGCATATCTCAACCAGGAAGAAGGGKTGTCTCGACAATTGACGAGATTTRCTCTCAGACCATTCCAGTGTTTGTCAGAACAATGTTTATTTAACATGCCTGATACGCAAAGGCGATGCATATAGCTGGGGTGGATGCCTGGCCCATGCGTGGAATATTGCTGAGAGCACCCATGTCCAGTTACACATGTGTCATGTGGTAGGACAAGGAACCTTGTGTACACTTTTACCTATCTATCTAATGACGTTTAGAATGAGCCGGTAAATCCAGATTTCCAAGGTGGAGACTCTCCATTTTCTAACCATTCAACGATGGTGTTCTTGCATTTAATAGCCTTAATACTCACATGGCCACAATGTAAAGACAAGAAATGTCTAGTTGCACACCTCCATATCTGCTGTAGCAACTAATAGACCTGTTTTGTCAGGGACCGTCCTGAAGTCTTCCCTGAGGACCATAAGTGCAGCGGATTTCTACGGTATTATCAGATTAGTTCTGCTTTTGGTCTTGATATTAACAGATCTGACCCACATTTTACACCTAACGGAGATTATCTACACTGTTCTTCGACCTAACCAATAGGTGGTCTAAACAAATTTAATTTAAAGTAATAATTATTCTAATAAAATCCCTATGGACTTAAAAAAATTTTTCAATGAATCCTGTATTTCGAGGGTTCTAAAATAACGAACTGTACTCGAACGATGAAAAATACAGGGCTTTTGAAAATGTATAACTCATATCGGCAAAATTTGCACTCAATAAAATTATAAGCCTTAGATTCTGTAAGTACCTATTATCACAAGTAGGTAGTTTCTAAGCTTTCAGATAAGAAGACCAAATTACATATACGGAAATCTAATTTTAACATTGTTGAGCGTGTCTGATGGAAGGATATTTGCACTTACACTGATAAGTACTTGGTTGTAATCCGCTAACTTAACACCATGTTGAGGATCGATACTGGTTTTGTTGAAGTTTTAAGCAATCACTTACGTAGTTAGGTTATGTGGAATTGACCACACAGCACAAGGTTTAATTAATTTGGTATATTCTTTACCTATAACATGAGTATAATGTAAAAAATAAATTAGTTGGACAATGTTATACTWATTGTGATGGAGCATATATAATATCTGGTAATTAACAATTTTACAGGTAGGATAATGAAGTTATACCTAATGCTTTATTTACACACTACCTACCTCACAGATTAAATTCGGTATTGCGACATAGTTGTAGTATTAAAGCTAAATATCGATTATTTTTTGCTAATCTTACCGGAGTGGCTGCTTATTTCCACAATTCCACCTCACTTACTAATGTTGCAAATAATATTGTAGGTAAATGAATTCTTCAAACTAGATGGTCTCGTGGTAAAAAGTTTTACATGCACTATTTAATGAGTGGTCTAGGTTTATAAATGTTTTTTGATAACAATGATTTATAATCATCATATAAATCTATTTGTGGGACTATAAATCATTTTAAAAAACGTAAAAAATATTTAAATTTATTTTTTAACACTGATATTTAGTAAAATATTCGTATGTGTCGATAATTTAATTAACATATTAAAAAATTAAAAATTTTATATTTAATTTTGCTTAAGAAAATYAAATATAACATATTATGATCTTATGAATAAAAAAGGTTGAGTTTTTAAAATTATAGTTACTCCTTGCCTCAAAACCCCCAAAAGTTATAAGAAATCAATCTAATAACCAATCAAATTTTATGTAATAGTTGAAAATATTCTAATGTAATTAAATACCAGATTTCAAGATACAAATAAAATACTCTTTTTACAGTTAGCTGATGTAACTAAATTCAAAGAATATTCTTGCACATTTCCTGAAAAAGCTTTAAATAATTTGAAATTAACTTATTCTGATATATTTTATTGCCACCTGACAGTACTGTAATCAGTACTATGGATTTGGCTCCGAGCTATTTTTTCCTAGGTAAAAAGGTTGATTGTAAGGCTGACATCATAAAAATATGTTCTTTAAGTAAATACTGAAGTATATAAGTATATTAAATAATTAAGTTCCCTAGTAACACAAATATTATCCTTCCCATTTAAGATCGGCAAAGACAATAGCATATATTTACATACAATACTTCCATATGTGTGATACATTTTATATCTAATTCGTTTTTTTTTTCAACACAATATCCAGAATTTAAAATACTTTTAATTTTGGCTAAACAATAATGGTTATTATTTTACTAAAAACTAAATGGTGGTGTTAATTTTGATTAATTTTAAATAATTTGCAAATATATAATTCTTATTTATGTCCATTAAATGTATTATATAAATACATTAAATTGAGTGATTATAATATATAGGTTTATAGAAAAACAGACATAATAAAAGACCTTTGTTTAAAAAATACATTTATTGTAAAGATTTTTTTTTTTAAATTTAATCTCGGAACAAAACAATCCAAACTATTTTGATATTTTTATTTTGTACTTTTTTTTAATAGAACATTAAATTTGATTTGAACAACAACAACAACAACAACAAATAAATAATCTTCCATTAAAATATTAAAATTTCTAAAATAGTATTTGTAAAACTATTAAAATATTTTATTGCTTTGATTGAAAATTTATTAGGTATGCAAAATATCTAGTAATCATTAAACAATCTTTTAAATACTTAGTTAATTTGACTAAAAATGATATAGTAAAACATAGATCACAAGATACAGACAAGGTGTGTGTGAGTGTGTGTGTCGTGTGTCTGTGTGTGTACGTTTGTTTGTAGATATTTATAAATTTATAATATTATCCATATTTAACATATATTGTATAATTGGACATTGGTAGATATTAAAAGCGATTACTAAAATACTAACACAATAATATATTATAATAGTGGAATATGTTTGACAATGTTGTATAACAGAAATTAACTTGTAAAGTCTCTTCGTGTAAAGTGGACGTATAATACCGTATAATTACAATTATTTAAAAAAAAAAAATTATAATATTCATAATGTCTATTTAATAATAATATATGTTTAATAACTGGCTTCATGACCAGCTAGGATGTACAAGTCTGCGCCATCATCAGCTTTTTTGGAAACCATATGCGATTCCAATATCAGAATTCTAAAATTTAAAAAAATATATACATAACATGATGAGTTATTACTAATAGTTCATAAACATTCACTATACTCCGTTTCACGAAAGAGTGCGACCGCTATGCACATCCAAATGACTACTGTCGAGAAAAAATTTCCCCCACCATGTGGTGTCCACTCTCTGTATACAACGAGTATGCACAGAAATAAACACCTTTTAGTCGCCACCCAGTCGTACTTTCTCGTGGAACGGTATATAGATTATGCAATCATATTTACAGAATGATAATTGTTGTGAAATATGTTAATGTAGATATTAGAGAGGCCATTTATTTCAGATTTTTCAAGGTGTTAACAGTTCAGAAACTTGTCCTAGCATTTCAAAAATTGTCTTCACCCATTAGTGTTATTTATGACTTTCACCATAAAAGTATAATGCACCAAAAATTAACAAGATTTGTTTTATAATCAAGTAAAATAGATTTTTATTTTGTTTGTTGATAAATATTTATAATATATAATTTTCTATATCAATGTATAATTGAGTAATAGCTTTTAAGTAAGAGAAACTGTGTATTTTGATTTATTTTGAAATAAAAAACAATTATTCAACTACAGCAAAATMGATTATAATAGACTGTCAGCTAGTACAGCTATTAGTTCGGTTACAACCAAATGATACATACCCACAATTTATAACAAATTGGCACCAAGATTTGCACACATATTATTTGGGATCCCGGATGGATAAGAGCATTAGAATAGAAGTTACAGGTTACCACAATTATACATAAATTGCATATTGCGGTAAGCATTATGAATAGTATATGCTGAGGCTTATATAGAATCAAAAAATACTCGACCAATTTTGAAAATTGAGGGATAGTTTAGGTAATAGAATGAACCAGTTATTTTAGGGTGGCTTACCAGGTATTAATAATACTAAAATCATAACCACATATTTGTTTAATCTGCTTGCAATTGATTAAACATAATAAAAAAAAGTTAATTATTACTATGCTCTGCAGGTGGATTATGCCCATCTCAGTTTCATTAATTATCCCCTCAAAATACAGCTAGTATATTATAAAATTATGTGAATCAGAACCACATACTTATCAGAACCCAAAAGACGATAGGTTCTACTTTTGTCAACTATTTCTTGGGTTACTTCGCCATTTTTAAGACTACGTCCTTGGACACCATTCTTATGGAAGGCCAAAATGCTGTCAGACAATCGAACTGTAAACACAAGATATATCAATTAGTGTAACACAGTAACTWAGTATAATTTATGATATTTATGTATACTAATCAAAAAATTAACTAACCTATTGACTCTACAGTAAAATCAAAATAGAGCTGATTTATTTGGTTCCTTTCTTGCTTCAGGTTTCCATGTAAATTAATTATTTTTATAACATCTGAAATTTGAAAACATAATTTCATGTGAATTATTTTTTATAGTTCAAATAACAAGCTACATCGATTGAACATATTTTTCCCCAAAAATATTTATTTATACACTTAGTCATGGAAAATAATGTGATTTTATAATTATCCAGTGTTTTATAGCATATTTGATGTTTTTCAAGAAAATATACATTAAGGTATAATGGTTACAGACTTGAATATGGATTTTGTTAATATAAATTTGAAAAAATGTTTACACTCTTTTTACTTATTTTCCTTGTAAAACAAATTTACCATTAAATATTATATTATTCAATATCTAAAAACATTTTAATCCATGTTAATATACGTACAATTATACATACTTTTATAACATATCAAAAATGAATCTGTATCCAACTGACAAACACATACAACATCCATAATATCTCTTCTTTGAACAACTGTGCCTACAAAAAAAAAAAAAAAGTAAAATTAATCGTAACTAGCTAAACAAAACAATATTATACAAAAATGTCCACGGTAAAAATGTCCAAAATCAAGAATGTCAGCGGTAAAATTTTCCAAAATCAAAAAATTGAATGATTGCAATATAATAAAATGGGAACAACCTGTAACACATAAGGTATTCATGTAAAAAAAAAAAAAACACTTTGTAGAGCTGTATGTTTTCTACTACAAGTGTGAATACCTGTAGATATTTATATCTACCTAATTTGTGATTGACATCATGTAACAGTTATTACGATAAGATTATCAAAACAATTTGTTAAACATATTACAAAACACAATTATTTGTTTTAGTTCTTAATTTTTAGTTGAATCATTTTTGTGTGAAAGCGTGCGTGTTATTTTATTTTGTTTAATTACAAAAATATGTTTAGAGTACAAGTATTGAACAATTTTTAAAATGTATATCATTGACGTTTATAAATTTTAATTAKGTGATAATATGTGTTTGTATAAATTATTTGATTTTATGGACATTTTTTTAACAATTTATTTTTTTTWAATATTATTATAATCAATTTATTGTAATAACGAAAGAATTTTTTTTTTTTAATATTATTACAATCAATGTTGTAAATACACTTTTAGTTAGCACGCTATTTTGGACATTTTTGATTTTGGAAAATTTTACCACGGACATTTTTTCCTCAGACATTTTTACCTAAATTCAAACAAAACGTATATTTTAATAAAAAAATATAAATCATATAAAATAGTTTAGAGAATCAAACATTAGCACAGAATTCAAAAATTAACAAATATTACTAACCAGTATTATCAGAATCATCTGTTTCTCCAGAACAAAACCAACATGCACCAGTATTGACATTGATCAACTCTAATTTTAAATTCATAGACTTTCTAATAGGTCCAATTGGTTTTTTCACACCAATACAAACAAGTGGATATTCTAATTCAGGTGTTATGACCATTTCAAAAACGTTTAAAGGTGATGGTAAATTACATTCAAAATGCTACAATCAATAATTACAATAAAATTGTATTACATCACGCACATTCTAAATATTAGCACAATTAAATTTACCTTTAACAACATGAACTTGTTAAGTGGATCATACCATTGCATTAAAAAAATCCCACTAGACATGGCTCCACATAAATATTTATAACCGTTGTATGGGTTACGTCCAACACAACATTTTATACAACCTTTGGTATCTGGTACTTTTGTGGTAAGTGCAAACCTTCTAGGCATTAATCGTTCAGGAATTCTGGTCATATGTTGTGAAAACCTATGGCTTTGTTTACCATGAAGAGCTAAGAGATCATGCCTAAACAACTGGGTGGTTTTTCCTGTTTTATTTAAAACAAAATTTAAGTAAAAAAATGATATCCATACAATATTATAAAATAATTTACCTGATAAGGACATTAGAATATCCTTTATAACATACAACCAAATTGTACGTCTATTATACAACTGATCAATAGCAGTTTCATGTAGTTCGTTTAGATTAAGATTGTAGATTCCTTCTTCAGCTCCAATAAATACATGCTGATCTCTAGTTTCAGGATGGATCCAACTAGCCGTACAATAAATTGTTAAAGGGCATCCATTAAATACCTAAATTAACAAATTATTGAATAATTTTTTACTTATAAAAATATATTTTATTTAAAGTTCAACAATGTAATTTTAAACACAATATATTCTAACTATTCAATATAAGTTTATTAAACTAAGTTTTCTAGAATGACTAATATGTTTCTATTAATAAAGAATTAATGTATAACTAATATTTATCAGTTTAAATTAAGTACCTTAGAAAAACAAGCACCCATGTGAACTTTGGGTGTGGGTGGTAGGCCATTACTTATTGGTTTAGGAGGAGAATTACGTTGTTTACGGTCTCTTCTACGTGGTGGTACTGGAGGTGTATCAGCTAACAAATCTGGCTCAGGACCTTCTCCTATTTAACCATATTATTAAACCAGTAAGTTTAATATTAAAAACAAATAAATATTTTAATTTACCTCCACTATCACTAAATGAACGTTGACGTCCATTTATGGTAACATTAGATGTTGTTAGTGCAATAATTTCATCAAGAGAGCTATGTCGTCTAGAAGGTGAAGAACTATCTAAAAAGTAAACATAATAAAATTGTGATTTTAAGTTAGATTACAAGCATAATACTATAATATAAAGATATAAAAGACACAAATATTCACATTTCATCAGAGTGAAACACATCAAATTTTTTTTCATTATTATATTATATATTATACTCTTAGTTTAATAAAAAATATTATTGATGCAAAGTATAAGTTTTATCATTTAAATAGCTCAATGTTTATTATCAAGCAACTGATTGACAAAATAAAAATTTTTCAGAAAAAAAAAAATGACAATCTGTTTTAAATGTAAGTGAAACATCCATATAACAAAGTATTACGTGAAACAAAATAAAATCAAAATACAGAGGAATTTATTAAATAAAATTACCTCATTTGAAATTATTATTTTATTTAATTAATTATACATGCATTCATATTTTATATTGTATTAAAAATATATATATCAAATATTCAAATGTCATATTATACTTATGATGTAAACTTTTTTTWAAATTATTTCAATCATAGATATTTAATTTAGAAGAAACAATCAGTGAATTTCATATAGACAATTGATTAACAATTAAGTTTCCAAATTTGTTTTTGTAGATCAGAGATTCTCAAACTGTGGTACACGTACCCCTTAAGTGTAATCAAAATTTTTTAAGGGTTACAAGTCTTGCCAAAAACCTGAATGAAATAAAAATGTATGCAAATCTTTAAATTTGTTTGTATACATGTTACCGGAAATGTTGACATTTAGGAAATGATGACAATTCCTAATAACGGAAGGAAATGATATCATTGCCTAGTTCGTRTTATCATTTTCTAACGATATCAGGCAAAGATGCCATATATATTTTTTTTAGATATTTTAATTTAATCTGTCACAATTATTAATTACCCTGCTGTTACACTGATAAATAATCAATGATCAATAATTAATAAAAAATTAGATTTTTTTTTTTTAATCACTCTATTAAATTCAATTTGCATTTTATTCAAATCCATTTTAACGAAATAATACGTACTGCACTAAGAAGATAGGCACACACTACTAAGTGGACCGTGTTATATGGACAGGTAGGGACACTTTTAATAAAACACGTAAATGGTACGTTAAACATATTATGCGATACTTATGTGATAGCCATGACATTTTCCAATCAATCATTTTAACGACATCAGTCATTACCCTCCTGATATTTTTTAATAGAACACGGAAAATATTGACAGTAATGGCAGTATAAAGGTTTTTAGCATCTCACCGTTTCAAGTTAGTTAATAGTTATCATTATAATAGCTTTACATTGTAAAGCCACATGACCACATGACCTGCAACATCATAATCGCCAATGTTTTCGTGGAAGAAACCGATACGTGATAACTAGGGCTCGAATGTTTATGCACTTAAAACTACTCTAATATAAATAAATAAATAAATAAAATTATAAAATATGTATTTTTAGCCAATAAAAACACAAAAATATGTAAAATAAAATTAGTATTATTTGATTCAGTAAAACATGAATTAAATTTGTACCTAGGTTAGCATTAAATTGAATAAATATAAAAAAATATGCAATTTCATAAACATCCGAGCCCTAGTGATAATATTGCCTAAAAAACTACAGAAATGATGACAATTCCTAGGCGATGATATCATWTCCTTYAGCTTTTAGGAATTGTTATCATTTCCTAAGAACTGTCATCATTTCCTGAATTGTTAACATTTCTGGTAACATATATTTTAGTTTAGTAACTAAAAAGGGGTACCCAAAAAAATGTATTAGTAAAAAAGGGTACAGTATTCATAAAAGTTTGAGAATATCTGTAATACATATAGAAAAATTACAGAAAATTTGATCATTAACGTCAATATTGGATCTACAGTACTGCAATAAAATTAATCAGCTTCCTACTTCTGTCTTATCTTTATCGAATACAATAAAATTATAAGTAGTTTAGAACAATATTTAATATTAGATACTGAAAACATTTACAAAAATAGGATTGCTATCAAACACTTTATTTGTTATATAAAAACATCTAATTTGTTATACAATGAACAATACAAATGATTAACAATATAGAGGTTATGGTTTTCAAAAATATTTCACTAAACAGAAAAATTTGTTAAAAAATAGTTTTTTACATGAAAGTTTCACTTGGGTGGTAAATTATTTGAATGCTACATGCAAAAATTACCTTTTATTTGATCGTGCCATGAAAAATATTATATATTATATAGTATGACTGAGAGTAAGTAATATCTACTGCTAATGTAGATACATACATACTGTATATATATATTATTAAAGTATTTTTTGCATGCCCTTAAAATCTTTTCATGTGCCATAGATTTGCCTTCCCTGTTATTCATATACATTTTAAAGTATTTAATAAAAATGTCGATCTGGCAATATATTTGTCAATAAGCATTCATTACTTTTAGGAGTAGAAAAAAAATTTGTAATAACTTGGTAATTTTTTTTCACTATTCAATTTTATGATAATCACTATAAATTTAATGATTTATTGTTTAATCTCAATACCTCTTATATTTTGGTACACACAGCCTTTATTAGGAAAGTTACATTTTTGACTAGATGAATGTGGCACAGTGCATTTGTCAGACAATGGTAAAGTAGATCTGAAAACATTAATGTACATTTTTAAAATTAAATAAACAATTTCTCAGGTTGCGTCAAAATATAGTTCATGACTAATTAGAAAGTAAATACTTTAAATTATTTAATACTATATGTATATAATTATACATAGGTGGATAGGCCTACCGGGCATCCGGGCATTTCCCAGTGGGCCCCCTTTCGTATTCCGGTAATGGGGCCCTTTAATATCATATACTATTAAATTTTTTTTCGTGTGGAGGCCCCTTTTTAAAATTTTCTGGTAGGCCAAAAATGGCCTATCCACCCATATAATTATGCACTACAACAGTATAACTTTTAAAATACTGAGTGAATGTAGTAATTAATCTGTACAGAGTTTAATATTACAAAAAAAATTTGTACACATAAGATATTCATACTTACAAATCTTCATAGCTGCCATTCCTAACTTCATTAAACACATGACTATAATCTCCCCTATTAAAAAAAAATTAAATATATATATATATATATATATATACAGGGTGATTCTTTTATCAAACAACACTCATTATTTAAAAAAGTATTGACTTTTTTCAAAATATTTTTTTACATAGTTTCAAGTTGTTAAATTATAACGTAATAATTAATTTAAAAAAATAGCTTTATTGATTTATGAAATTTTAAGTATAGGTTACCATTTGAAAATCAAAAGTTGATAGTGGTTTACCTAATAAATATAAGGGTGAAAAATATAAAAAAAATATACAATTCAAGAAGAGTGTAAATCTACAGTTTAAAAAAAAAAAAAATTTGAAAAAAGTCAATACTTTTTGAAAAAATTAGTGTTGTTTGATAAATCAATCACCCTGTATATATATAWATATATAATTAGTAAAATAATATGTTATTAGAAAAGATTTTACAAAAAAAATATAGTTAAAAGGACCAGCTGTACAATAATTTTATTTTTTTAAATTAATATCCTCTCTTTTATACAGAATACCCTTGACAAGTAACAAAACAAACAATAAGCAAACTATGCCCAAAAGCTAACAACATGTATTACTGTGGAGTTCAAAAATATTAGTTAAGCAAAGCAGCATTATATTGTTGAAGTTTTGATTAGTTATTATACAAAATTTAAATTTAATAAAGGGTACATAAATAATTTAAGATAAAAATTATATTAATTTCCAATGAAATTTGATAAAAGCATRTATATTTAGTGGATCACAATCAACGACACCAAGACCAAATAATTTTGATTGGCAATATGATAACGTAATGATATATCTTAATTGATCGATCCAATTATATTAATGGTGCGAAGTTAAAAAAAAAATCTATTTAAGGTTTCATACCTCAGTTTAAGTTCTTCATCTATGTTTTGCAGAAGACTCCTGTAGAAATCAAATTACTCCAATAAATTTAAAGAATTTGTAATAAATACAAATATATTAAGATTGTACAACAGGCCCTAATATAATAGAAAATCTCAATAATACAATATTTTTTGTAATATATTTTACCTCTTTAGTTTCTTTTGGATTAAAATAATGAAATAGAAATATAACTTAAATTTATTAATTTAGTTAACTAACCTTACTTTATAAATTAAATTATTAGTAAATAATTATATTCTGAATGATCTAAATAAAGTTAGTAAGGTGAATAACTAGTAAAACATAAACAGTTACTTGCAAAAGCTTAAATCTAAGACTAAATTGCATTGATACCTCAATATTATTTCAGATGAATAGGAACAATAGGACAAAACAATAATTATGGCCTCCCAAAGATAATGATATATAAATTATTCACCATTTTTAGACTTGCAAATAAAATAGGTAAGGTTAAAAATTCTTAGATTATCATTATTTATACTTAATAAACTTAAWAAAAGGTAAAAACAAAATATTATTTTTCAAATATTGAATAGCAGAAAAATTGTAGCAAAAATCAACCTCAATTATCTCAAATAACGAAATATTATGAGCAAGGCTCGGAACTTTATGCGCTAAAAATTACTCAAATATGCGCATACATATGCGTTAAAGTCATCAAAATATGCGGTATAATATGCAGTAAAAAAATGGCAAATATGCAAAAATATGCAATTTATTGAACAAAATACATTTTACATGCAAAATTGTAAACATAATTGTTCACAAATTACCTACGATTTACAATATATATTTCATATCATGGTACAAAATATTAATGCAGTGGTAAATGTTGATAAAAATAAATACAGGCCGGTCGGCAGTCACTATTACCTACGAGTTCTCAGTAGTATAGAGATAATATTATTATTGTTGAGTGTTTGGGAGCAATACAGTAATAGCCGTTGATGAATTAATTTATTTTGTCAAATTATATTAAATTTAGAATTTCGGTTGTCATATATCTAATATTTTTTTGTTGAACTATAAATTTCTAAAAAAAAAAAAATTGTTTTCGTTAAATCTAGGAAATATACATAAAAATGTTCTTAAACCTAAAATATGCGTATTCGTACAATAAATAACGAAATATGCAAAATTATGCAACAAAAAATTTTGTATTTAAATTATACGTACAATGAATCGAATTTGCATCGAATCAGAATTTCAATATGCACTTTCTAGACAAATATATAAATGCCTAAAGTTCCGAGCCTTGATTATGAGTTATTAGATTAATATACTCACAAACTTGTTTAAATTTAGATAATTTAAATGGAATTAGTATTGTTTAAAATAATTCATTTAAAAATTAAAATTAAAAATATATCATGATATTGCATAAAACAAAATGTTTTTAATTGATGAGTTACTGTCATCAGAAGAAGACATTATATTCAGTTGATAAGAATCTTTCTACCTTCTGAAACATTTATGTTATTTATGTTTTTCTGATATGCTATAATGATAATTTTAATGATTTAGTATAATAATATTTGATATAATTTAATGTAATATTTAATTCAATATAAAAGAATAACAATTTAAAAAAAATTCTKGAAACAACTATCTACATACAATGAGGTTTAATATAAATGAAAAACAAGGTAACCAAATTAATAGATTAGTAATGCAGTGAAATAAATAATAAGTAATATATTTAAATGAAATGAGTTTTATGATTAATTTGTGGTTTAAAAAATTTACCACACTCAAAATATTGAAAATATTTTAGAGAAAAAATCTAAAGAAGATAATAATATACCATTTTTAGATTAGTCATATAATATTTGTGTGTGTGTTATACAGTTTTATAAGTAATAAGAGAAAATATACATGAGATTATAGAATAAAGAATAATATAGTGAATGGCATTTAAAATTTAACAAATTTAAGTAACTAGATGTCATTATACAAGAATTTAAAATAATAAAAATAATTCATAGATTTATGTTTGTTATGCATTTAAATAAAAAAGTTATATAAAATTGATAAGTCTATCATGATTTTTGAGTATGAATAAGTATATATAATAATAAAGAGAACGTTATTTCACTRTTTGTTTTCTTTCTCAGACTAATAGCCAATTTGCATTCAGTAAAACTAACCTTAAATTGTTGACCTTTATATTAGAGTAAATTTGGTGATAATCAAAATTAAAAAGGTAATAAATAAATAATAATAATTTGAGCTTGCACTTTGTACATTGGTATTTTATTTTTGAAATGTTTTATCTATGATGCAATATATGAATATTTTCAAATCTGTAGTATATTATATACTCATAATAACTTTTATAAAAATGTAAATACAGTAAAATAAAACTATCAGCAAATACAGAAAATTTTAACTTTATGTTTGATAAATCTAATATAATATTAAAATAAACAATATAAGACTTATATTATGTTAAATGCAAATTTGATGTTATACATAGGTTAAAGAGAAAAAACTAACAGTGTGTTGACATCCTCTTAAGTAGGGGTATGCAGTCCTTAAGTAAAATATATGATTTGTATAAAAATGTAGAGTCAAATATTGTTTATACAATTTGTTAAATAATTAAAAATAATAGTTATGAACTTAAATAATCTAGATATTATATAACTATACATTTTTGTCTATTAAAATAAGGTATATTCAAATATTGGCCAGTGAAAATGTATGTTTATTTTTTGGTCTTTGAGATCAGAAAGGTTGCTCACGAATGCTCTTAGCTATTAATATTAAATAAGAATAAGCAAGAAAAAATTGTTTTTAAGTTTCTAGAAAATATCTGTGAATGGGAAAATTGTTTTAAAGGCAAAAGTGTCCATATATGTACAAGCATATGAATATTTACAAAATAATATATACAAATGGTAGTAACAATTTTATTATATATATTCCTAATGTTATAAACTAGTTAATACATTTTACTAAAAACAATTACAAACACACATTGTAAATTAATAACTAATATCAGATATCAATGTAAGTTAATGCGGTTTTTTTCAATTAAAAAGGATTAATCAAGCATTAATGATAACTAATAATGAAATGAATTGATTCAATACAAATTTAATTTAATATTTAATACTTACTTTTCAGTCAAAATACAGTCTAATCTTCCAAAATTATCACAGTCAGTATTGCGCTAAGTAAAAACATTATTATGCATCATAATATTTTAAAATTTTAAATAAATAACAACATTTTTAACTCACTGCTAGTACACTTTTTTTTGCATTAACCATTCCCAAATTTCTAGATTCCAACAGAGTAGGTGTATCATTTTTACTATTGTGAGATGTTGCTTCAGATAGATTTGAACCTTCAAATATTAAATAAATATACTATTATAATTGTTTATTTATGTGTGTGTGTGTGTGTGTGTGTGTGTGTGTGTGTGTGTGTGTGTGTGTGTGTGTGTGTGAGTGTGTGTGCGTGTGCATTTTCAAGTACATTTTTCAATGTTAAAGCATATAAAAATGTTTTTATGAAAATTAGAGTTACATCTACATTTATWTTAAGTTTTAACTGTTTATTTTTTATGCATGGCTAAGTTTGGTGAATTGCTTTTGTATTATTGTTAATATAGTCTAAATAAAGAAGTGTTATAAATGCGAAAAGTTAAACCCTTGTTTTATTTTTACTTAAATGTCTACCAAAAATAAGAAAAGTTTGGCACTAATAGTATTGAATATTTTCAATTTTATGATAAATGACATTTTTTTTTTCATATAATTTCTCAACACAATACAATTATTTCTTGCTATGTATTTTTTTTTGTACAACAAATTACTATTTATGTTGTAATAATTGTTTAACCTTTATCATACATATTACATATACATTGTAAATAGTGAAGAAAATTGTTTGTTTAATGTTGTTTTATATTGTTAAGTAAATATTCTAGAAGTATAATTGATTATTAGAGATAAATAATAATTATATTTGAGGTAAATTTTAGAAAATGGGTCAAAAAGACCTTGATTAGTATCAGTCTAATGCCGGGTTCATTGATAATTAATAATTCTAGTGTTGTTATGAATACATTACAATTAAAATTAAAAAATATTTAATAAAAACTTACCTCTATGATCAACTGTTGCTCTGGAAGCGATACGCCGAGGAACATCAGAGATAACCTAGTATAATTTTTAAGAAAATCTCATTATAATAAAAATCTTACTATAAAAAAGTAAAGGGGGGAAAGATTTAACTACTGTACTGAGCACCAGGTATCGAATATACCTCATCATTCTGAGTAATTAATTGTAATTTATGTGTTAAATTTGAATTCAATGATAAATCATTACATACAAAAAAAAAAATTGTTTTAAGTAGACCAATATAGTATCATTACACGAGTTTAAATTATTCATTTAATAGAATAACTTACCTACTTACAAACAGGGGAATTTTTCTCCCTAACTAAACCCACAAAAAGTTTTTATAGCATAATTCATATTTAATTTTGCTCTGATTTTGGATTTTAAATGATTTTAAAATGAGGTAGACATTTAATAACTCCCCGACCAAAAAAAAAAATGTACAGGTACGCTGTTGAACATGCATACCAATACATATTAAGTAAATTGTACTTATCACATAATTATTAATTTAATAATAACCACATAAATATCTTACCTATCCAGATTTCAAATTTCTTATCTAAATATACTTACATCATCATCAGGTTCTATTTCTGCAAATGACTGAGTAGTAGGGTTACTTGCTTTTTGTAAAAGATCAATAGCAAGTCGTTTACTCATATCTTGACAAAAAAATGAATGCTGAAAATAAAATAGYTCAACATTAACGAAAAAAAATTAATGAATATTATATTAATTGATTAATTATTGTAGTCATAAATAGATATGACATGAATCAATAATATTTTTTAAAGATTTTTTTATAAATCACTACCAATATTTAAAAACCATAAACTAAGAAATGATAAATATTTTTTTTTTAAAACTAGGTTTAAATAATATACTCAATTAATAAGAATAACACTTAAACATATAACCAGAAATATAATTTAATATAAAAATAAGGTAAGACTATAAAAAATTTACAAAAAAAATGTATAATCTTATCAACTATCATTTTAAATCAACATTCAACACTAATCAATGTGAACTATGAAGTATTTTCCATGCCATTTTTTTTGTTTTGTTTTAGATATCAAATAAAAATATATGTTATACAAACCATTAACAACTTGTCTGCAGTTGGTCTTTTTTTGGGATTTTTAGTCAGTGATATTTTTATGAAATTATGAAATGTTGGACTCCTAAAAATAGTAAAATTCCGAACCAAATATTAAAATTTACATACATTTATTAATTAGGCACAAATAAGAGTAAATTACCATTTATCTCTGTCTTTTAATGTAGGTGGTTTAAAACCACTTTTAGACATTAAGAATAAAACTCTCATAGGATGCAAGTCAAACATTGGTGGTTGTAATTCAGCCAACTCAATAGAAGTAATTCCAACTGCCCAGATATCACATAATTGGTTATAGCCACCTTTACGTTCTACAGCTGCTACCTAAATTAATTTTAATAGTTAAAAATATTGTAATACATTTAGAATATAATGATATAATTTTAATTAAATGTGTAAATAAATTGAGTCTATATATATATATATATTATTAATATGTATCAGGAAGACCTGGCAATTTTAAATTTAAATCACAGTTAAATAACAGATCATAATTATATATCCTGTATATTGAACAAACTGAGATAAGCCATTTGTTTAATATATATAAAGTAAATAAGTCGAGTAAATAAGCACTCGTCTTAAATTTGAAAAAATAACTTTTAATGGATAAATTAAAATAAAATGWTAATTTTTAAACACATACAATATATAAATTAAAACATGTTATATTTCCAATCATATAGCTAATAATGGGTTTAAGCTGATTTTTGGTGTCCAACAGAACTCAAACTCGACATTTTAGAGTATTGCAAACCTAAATGGAACCGAACTTAAATAAATGAAATTAAACAAATTGATTTTATCATCCTAAAACCTAAAAAAAATTATACTTAAACAAATTGTGGGATTTCGATTTGAAAGTAATCAAAATTTAAAAGTTTGAAATCTGTTCTCAAGAAGATTTTACAACAAGTTCAAATAAGTTTTCAGAGTTCTTATCGTTTCATTAAATCAATTATTGGTACATTGAAAATAGCACAAGTCTAATTTTCTATGTTATACAAGTCATTGATAAAAATCACTGTTTTAGTACTTTTAATCACCATGATTATACATAATATAAATTTATAATATAGCAATGTCTTGACTGACTAACCAATGTAGAGTCTTAAGTATTATAGCTAGAGAATTTCCATTTTTATAGTACCACTTTACCACCACAGTGGTGCACTAAGAACGGATTTTCCAAATTTTGCATTTAGAAGGTCGTGAACAACAAGGATTTTGAAGATTCAGGATGGAAATATAAAATTGTTTTTTAATTTAAAAATCGTTGCCAATAGTTGATTATAATATTAGAAGTAGAAATATATATACCTATATATTTTTATATATATAATAGTTAATATTGGTGACTCAGGTTGGTGAGGTAAAAGCATACACTAAAATGTAGTGTTAATGGCCTCAAACAAAGGAATTAATTATATCTTAAAACAAATATAAGTTTATTTATAAAATAATTTTTCAATAATATGCTTGCTGTTTATAGATAAAAAAGTATTCTACCAATATTGATGAAAATTTGTGAGATAATTTTAGACATATCAGGAAAATTTAAAGAGTAATAAGGTTCAGAAATATACAAAAAACTAGGTAATAAAATATTAGGTATATATGGATTGAGGTTCACAAAGACCGAGATACCTCTTTATAATGCCATATTTTATATTTTTTGTTTATTTTTCCAGGTCCAAAGTTAGGTTAAGTTACCTAATATATATATTGAATTGAACCAATAAATTAGGTTAACTTATTGTGACTCTGCCATTATTATTATTTAATTAAATTTATTTAGGATTTAAAAAATAAAAACTTATATTTTTGTTATAACCACACAATAATAAAATACAAAAGAAACTAACTTCAGGTGCCATCCAATATGGAGTACCAATGAATGATTTGCGTTTATTTATTGTGGCGGTAATTTGAGCAGAAACCCCAAAATCTGCTAGTTTTACATCACCATATTCAGTTAGCAATATATTTGCTCCCTAAAAATATACAATAAATCTAATTAATTGTTAATCAAACAAAGTAATTTTACAACATTTAACTAAAAATATTATATCTCTATAACTTAAATAAATAATTGCTCTTTGGTCACAAATCACGGCAAAGGTAGAGGTAAAGTGCAGGATATGATTATTATATTAACATTTCTATTCTTACTATACATATCATATAATATAGTGTGTTCTTAATTAGAGGTACCACTTTAATTATTTCAGATCAAAATGGGGTATTTTGAGAGAATACCATAATACACATGATGAGAAACTTTCAACATTTTAACACTAAYGGTTAATACATGAGCAAAAGATGCATAATCAAAGTTAGATAAGATGATTAGGAATAAAATAAAGGTAAATGGTGCCTATTTTTAGAGATTAGTTTTCCTAGATCACTTTACTTAGATCCTAATTTTACATAAGCTTTAACGCATTACAAAATTATTTACATAGATTTAATTATTTATTAAGCATTAGGTAGTATTTATATCTTATCTATATACAAATACTAATTTACATAGGCAGATCCAGAGTTTTATATTTGAGTGTACCCGGCTATTTTTTGTATTTATTTTTTTATATTACAGAGGGAATGAGGCTATAAACAAATCACATCAGATAAAATAATGGTAAAATAAATGAAATACAAATTACCAAAAGTATTATTATTATTATTATTAGAATTAGAATTTTTTTATTGTTATCAGTGCGATGTTGATTTCCAAGAAAAGGCAATATTTTTTTGCTTAAAATAGTTACCACCACTATTAGACCGACCGTGACGTTTTCGTGTTGATGACAATAAAATTAAATAATATAATTTAACAATAACGATAAACAAATACGTGTAGACAATGTAGTGATTTAAATTATAAATATACAGGCTTCATTAATAATGTAAAATAACAATATTATTTATAAAAAAAAATACATGTAATTATTACCTACTTTTATTAAATATTTAATTAYTTCAGACTGATTCTGAACACTTTCAGTTTTACTTACAAAAAACTAATATTAAATTAATGTGTATATATTATATTATTAATTATAATTATTTAATATTTTTCTCTTTATATTAGGGTGTGCCTTGGCACACCCCGTAAATTTTCCTATGCTAATTTAACCTATACTATATATCATTTTAGCATAGGTATCATTACCTGGAGCATAACATATTTGTGTTTAGAGAAAAAATTTTTACTCATTTATTTTAGATTCTGAGCGCCGATGAATGTATTCATTTTACAATGATGTGTATGTGTTTTTTTTTTGTCTGTGTATACGATAAGTTTGTTGATAAGTTGTCAAAAATGTGCTTTTTTCAACTTCAGTAGCTTTTCTGGTTGGAAATAGAATCTACGTAGTTGGTGCACTGGAGAGATCAGATTTTGAAATTCCAAAAGTAATTTAATAAGGACCAGGAAAAACAAAAAAAAATTAAGAAAAAACGGGAATTTTTAAGCAAAATACATATTTGAGAAAATCGATTTTAGATATTAGTGTTACTCTAAAACAAATTACAATAGACATCTGAAATTTTTAGTTTTTTATTCTATAAATGTTGATGCAATTTTATTCATTGGGTCATAAAACTTGAAAATTGAATACAAGGTTCCCCATAAGTTTATATAATAGCAATAGCAAAATATTCAAAATATATAGGCACATTTTTTTTACAACCATTTAAAGTTCAAATTTTRACAAAAGTTATTTAATTGAAAATTTATAAATTCTTTAGTTGTTAAAAATTTATAAAATGTTTAAATTTTATAGSTAAGGATTGAAAATTTAAAACAAGGTTCCATGTAAGTAGTTAATTCTGCCACAAAAAAATCTAAAAACTATTCACAGTATTCTTTATAGTCATAGATTAAGTTCGAATTTGGATGATATTACATATTATTAAATAATCAAAAATAACAATTTTAGTCATATTGTTGAAATTTAAAAATATTATTCATGGATATTGAAAATTTCTAAAGTATATTTTATATTCTAATATTAATAGTTAATGTCATTAATGACCTATATTAATACTTAATAATAAATTGTATATACCTTCTATGAAAGACTGAGTGAGTCGGGTACATACATAATGAATCTGATTTCATTAATTTGGAATTTATTTTATAGGTATCTCCATTATTAATATACATAATAATAGCAATATAATTAATATAGAATAACATAATATCCAAGACTAACAAACCGTTTCCACTCAGAATCGTTTTTCGTATACAATRATATTATATCATTGAATTCAAATTTAATACCATTCATTACAGTAACCCACTTGTAACCTACTGTACAACAGAGCGACATCCACTTAATTACCTGCTTTTAAAAAATAGTCTATCCAAATCTATAGAAAACATTTTATCAAAATGTATACTTTGAAATATACTTTTTTGATTAGGGATGAAATATTAAGTAGTAGCTCTGAACGTAGTCAGATATATTTTTTATTTTATACATTAGTTTTATAATATACAATAAGTATTGTTAATAGTGGCAGCGGCTAATTGCATTCAGCAGTTAGACGTCGCTGTGTTCGATTGCATTTAACACGTTGACTGCCATGCAGCCGCTGGCGGCCTCAAGAATATTTATCATGACTACGCCAAAGACATTTTTCAGTATCATTATAAATTTGTATATATAGGTACTATTGAATTTGAAAAAAAATATTTAAAAAAAAATGTTAAAATTATGTTTATTACATTAAAAAATTGCAATTATTCCCACTACGCCACACCATATTTTCAAGATCATTATATTAGCGCAACGGAAAAGTTAATAATATAAATCCAAATTAATTTACAGCAGCCCGGGGCCATGTGACCTCCTMCGAATGATATGGTACGGCAGCCGGCGGTCTAAAAATTATCAATACCTAAATATTATTATACGGACGCCGGAGGCCGCAAGGTAGTCAACGTGTTAAGAGGGGTAAACATAGGATGGGTTCTGTTCTGCTATAAGTACTACAATAGAATWGATGACAATAATATTATTTTTTCGACTATAAATAACGCTATACAATCTATCGGATTTTTGCTTAACTATTAATCGTGTTTCCAAATAAACAGCCGTATGGCTTATCTGCGTATTATAAAATCAATGATTTTATACATGAATTAATTGATAGATATATTATTTTAACAATACATAGAGTAATATAAAATAATTATAATTCATTAAATATACTTAATAAAATAATACTCACTATGAATAATAGCTTAAGAATTTTAAAGCTTTTAAAATACTATTTAAATAATTTTTAACATAATTACCTTAATATCTCTGTGCATTTTACCCACTGTATGCAAATATGAAAGTCCTTTAAGTGTTTCTCTACACATATATGCTATTTGTAGTTCTGTAAGTGGTCCGGTAACTACAAAAATAATTAAATGTGTATAAAGTATACAAAAAGATAGTTGTTATTTCCATACTTAAAAATACACAAATAGGTAGTTATTTCAAAATTGACATAATGTAAAATAGTGATGATTTCCTCTGAGGTCCACATTTATATAAATTTAATTATTTATGGCATCCACCTTAAACATATGTGATACCCAAATGTGTTGTATCCTTCCTACAAGTGTGTAACATCCCCAAAACTATTTAGCGCAGGATAGAACAACTCAGTCTGTACTCTTAGTAGAAACACCAAAAGTTAGCAAAATATAGAAGATAATATTTTCTATATTTATTTGATATCTTTAATAAGAAAAAAGTTATAATACTTTTAAAAATCTGATATTTTTAAGTTTTACAAACTTCAATAACTATTGATATATTGGTCTTATCGAAAAATTAATCGTTGTGACACAGTAAAAATTCTCYTTTTTTCATGGTAAAAATTAGGTTTCTTAGTTATAACTAAAGGGCGGATTTTTATGCAATTGCATATTGAGAAAACATCTATAATAATTAGAAACAAATACATGTAGGTATTCCGGTCCCCTTGAAAATTCAAAATGTCTGTCTGTGGGATACACTCTACAATTCAAATTTTTTTTCCAGACCTCTATAATTCGAATTTCCTCAAACGCAATTATATGTATGGTTATATGTGCAAAGAAACTTAATCCTTTAATGATCGGAAAATTTGCCAATCCACACTGTTTCAAGAATATAAAATSTTTCCCACCAATGTACCGGTCAAATAAAAAGCCATGAATGATAGGTGTATTACTTACAGAGTAGTTATTATATATCAATGCAGATATCAAAAAGCCAAATCAGATTATTTCTAAGAGAATGCTACACATATATTTGTTGTCTCTGTCTTACAAATGTGCAATATACCAAATGTACGCATAGCACATCACATTTAACTCTGTTAGATTAAAAATTTTAATGAAACTTGATGGTAAAAACAATATCTTTGTTTGTATGTGGATTTTTTACAATAACTTAGTTTTTAAGTGAGATATGAGCATTTTTAATTTATGTTTTTTTACAAGCATAACTTGCTACARAATTTCAAGTTTCATAATAGGTTAATTCAATTTAAATCTTAAACTAACAGAGTTAAACGTGATTTGCTGAGCATAAATTTGCTATGTTATGCACTTGGAAGACAAAGACAACAAATGGATGGGTATCATCCTCTTAATATGTAAAATATAATAATATGTATGATAAATAAATGTAAAAATAAGTATAATTCATATAAGTTTTTAACTCTCTTAAATTCAAATTAATTTTTCCCCCCAAAATTATTTCAACACTCTGTAAATCGAAAACCTTAATAGATCAAATTTTTAGCTCGGTCTTCTGAATTTCGAATTATCGAGTTACTACTGTAGTTCATGTAATGAGAATTTTTTTTTATGACTGCTACTTACCTATGAGTATTCATTTATAGTGATTGACCTTTTCAAAAGGTAATCTAATATTGATAGGTACAAAGTTTAATTATTATGGTATAATGTTTAGTTATTTTGTATCGCTAAGACAAAAAAATAAAAAGGTCATCTAAATTTTAATTAAAGGAAGTGGGAGTGAGAATTTTGAAAATTTACATAGGAGGTGTAGAATAAAAAATGGATGAAAACTACTGATTTAAAGCATCTTGTAGGCTTTTATTGWTATTATAATTTAAAAAAGAATATAACTATGTAAAATAATACAATATAAAAGTGTACATGATATATTTTGAAATGTAATATCTCTTTCAACATAAATAAAAGCTCTATATAACACTCTTACCTCTAAATGTAAAAATCGGTTATTTGTGGGGTCAAATTTCTAATATTTAAACTAACAGTTTTTAAGAACTAATGAATGATTCCACTGCTATGCAATAATGTAACATACTTCTAATAAACATCAAATTTAAGGTATTTATTTATTTGTTACCTACTTAATAGATACTTCAAATTTGAAACATATATTAGACTATGTATGTACTATGATGTGTAAAAAAAAAATTATTTAGGTATTAGAACTTTTATAGAACACATAGGTAGAACATGAATTAGAAATTATAAAAATGATATTTTAAATAGGGATTCTTATACTATACTATGAAAATATTTACATATTAATGTAAAATATTTGAAATACTATTAATCAGGTAAGGGGTAGATAGGTTAAACTCAGATAGAAACTTAATTTCACACTAACTATAAGAGTAGATGAGTATTTAAAAACTCACTGTGATAAATGTCTTGCAACGATCCTCCAGAACAATATTCCATACATATCCATAATTTGTCTCTTCGTAAATAGCTACCATAATATTCTATAATATTGGGATGATGACAATCTTGCATCATTAATATCTCTTGTTGTATTATTGAAAAATCATCGCCTAATAAAATAAATAAAATATAAAAATATAAATAATATTAACAGAACATTTTATTTTGTCAAATATAATACTGATTACAAAGAAACAGATATTGAATAACATCTAGGCAATCAAAATTTCCAAATAAGTAATGCCAAACATGCCTGGCTCGATTTCTAGTTTGGACAAATCTGACCTAACATACTATGCAACTGTTACCTAATTATAACAACCATTAGCAACATTAGGTCGGACACCTTCCAAAACGGTGCAAACCAGTGACCAGGTAATTTCAGTGAGCACACTGCGCCGTATACACTGGATCATGGCAATTTTTTTCACTACAATAGTGGGTGCCAGGCCTTAAATGCTAATTTACTTACCGACTTCTAATTTGATAACTTTGATAGCAGCTAAGCCTGATGTCGAAATTCGCTTTGCCTGTAATGAAAAAAATCAACTAATGAAAACAGCAGCAGAATTATTTGTTCACAACGAAATTGCATTAGAACATATCTCACTTTATAAACATCGCCGTACGTGCCACTACCGATTCTCTGAATCAGCTCATATTCTTCCTGGGGATTTCTGGTGCTTATATCCGAGCTCATAATGTTCAGCGCAGAAGAACTATCGTTGAGACGGCAAAACGAGTACGCGACAATCGGACAATATCGATAGAAACGTGGAATGAAGGGTTACTGAAATATTCGAAATTGATTATTCATGTTAATTTAATTGACGAAAAGAAGACGGTCGCACAAACAGCGCGCGCAGCCCAAGAACGGATTGAAATATAGGTAGTTCCGTGCTCCGGAACGTGTCGTACATCCGCGACACAACGATTAATCTACACGACAGGACGTGTTGTCACTCAACGTAGGGCGCGCGGCATTCGACGGTAGTTTTGATTTGATGTTTAAAAAATGTATTTGCAATGAGTCCTATGTCGATATAATAATAATAATAATAATAATAATGGATAATAATATAGGTATGTGTATTTACACGTTTTGATTAATGTTATCACCGTTTATCACGTACCTATTTAGAATCAATGGAGGCGCGGTTTTCGACGGTATCTGGATTTTGGAGGCAAACACCGTCAAGTTTAAATTATAATAGGTACCTTTAAACATTGTAATGCGTACCAATACAATGAATGGGTGATTTCTGTACACACACACGCTCACACACAAACACACTTGATTCAAACTCAATGTGTGTTTGTTTATAATGTGCGCGTGCGTGCGCACTCGCGTGTGAGTGTGTGTGTGTGTGTGTGTGTGTGTATAATAATATGTCGTTTGTTAGTATACCATACGGCAGGGGTCACCAAATGGCGGCCCGCGAATGCATTTTAACCGGCCCGCAGACTGAGAGAAAAAGCCAATAATTTCATTAGTTTAAGTTAAATAATTAATTATTGGTGTATATTTTTTTATTTAGAAATAAAATATTTTTGGCCAACCGGCATATTATTATAATAAATATTATGTACCTATTTTGAATTTTTATGGACCGCGAGAATTTTCCGAATTCTTAATGTGACCCGCGGAAAATATTAATTGGTGACCCCTGCCATACGGTATTATGGTATCGCCGTGTCGACTATCGGTAGATAGGTAGGTCGTTTCATGGTGGTATATTATGTTGACATGTATATAGTAACTTGTGTGTACCTAAAACTCTAAAAGTAGTAAGTACCATTTATCTAGGTACCTATATAATTTTTTTATTTTTCATTCCTACATAGCCTATTATGAAAAATACTGCGCATACATACCTACAATAAACCAACGAACCAGAAATTAATAAGTACCTATAGGATTACGAGACATCGTATGCTCATTGCTGGTTTGAAACACCATATTGATTAACTACCTTTATCAATCAGCTATAGTTTTTAATACCAATTAAAATGAATTTATTATACAGGGTGATTCTTTTATCAAACAACACTCATTATTTAAAAAAGKATTGACTTTTTTCAATTTTTTTTTTTTTTCAAAATTGTAGATTTACACTCTTCTTGAATTGTTTATTATTTTTATATTTTTCACCCTTATATTTATTATATACACCACCATCAACTTTTGATTTTCAAATGGTAACCTATACTTCAAATTTCATAAATTAATAAAG